GCTAGCAGCGGAGTTGTTCAGCTGGGAAGACATACTCTGGTTTTGCTTAAATCTTCCTGTTTTTATTGAGCTGCTACCAAAAAGGAATTCACTTCCTGAGCGCGTTACCTGCCATGGTTCTTCTTTCTGTGGGTCTGGCTTTGTGTGTTCAGGTTTTTGTTTCATTTCAACACATCTGACCCACAGAAAGCTTCAAAAATCATCTGTCAAAGTATTTCATCTCAGTTCTCAGCCTCCTGTCGTGTATTTCCCTGCTGTAACGCACTTGTGACAACTCCTGGCCCTCCCCGTGCCCCTTGGCTGGCCGAGTGCTGCCGAAGCAAGGCTGCAGGGAGCTCACCTCCCCGTTGGGGTTCAGGGCTCTTCTGGAAGGACCTTGGCGGGGCCTTCACGCCGGTGATTTACAAGGCCGTGAGTCATTCCTGCAACTTTCTGAATCATTGCTTGTTGTTTCCCTAGTCAAATTGCTCTTGACATATGAAAATCCGTGGTGCCATAAAAGAAGCCATGTGCAGCTGCTTATTTACTGTCTGATTGTGTGAACCTCACTGCCTGACTTTGTCAGCTGGAGTTCTCGCAGAGGGCTGTTTGTTAAAGCTTGTCCTCTTTAATAAGGATTAAAGGCAGATATTGCCAAAGAGAATCTGCTTCCTTACGGCTGGAGAGCTTCGTTCTTCCCTCTGCTACCTGCGTTTGGAAAGTATGAGCTCATTTTGCAAGTACCAAGTCTCGTGTGACGTCTGGCTTCCTCTTTGTGGATGTTTCCTTGGAAGATTATTTACTTCTTGAGTGTAGTGGAGCTCAGTCTTCATGTTTTGAGGGCTCTTTGAGCTATTCGGGTGTGAATTCAGCATTTCCTTCTCTCTTGGCAGAAGCTCTACTCAAACACCCGGAATCGAGTCTAGAAGCAATCTTCCACGTACTGTCAGCATTATCGGAGGTGCCTCATGCAGGCGTAGGAGCAGGAACTTGATGGTGATCAGAAATTCATTGACTCCTTGGCAATGCTACCCATGGCGGAAACAAGTCCTCCCTGTATTGCAGAATAACCTCGTGTTTTAGGATCTTGGTTTTTGGGCACCTACCTTGGTGTATCCCCAGGGTGGCTGTGGCCATGAAGGCAGCTCCCCTTGTGTCCATTTGCAGTTAACTCACCGCGTGGTGTATTTTTCCTCTAGGAAAGGACTGGGGTGGATGTCTGAGATGTCCTCAGCTCGGGGTTTCGTGGCCAACGTGGCCGCAGAGGCTCGGGGTCCCCAGGGCTGCGTTTGGGTGCTGGGTGGTGCAATGCTGCTTTGCATGTGGCACCCTCGCTGCGGGGCGTCGTCCCTCCTCGCTTTCCATATCAAGTGATCTTCGTGCACCAGGCGGATCTGAGACAGAGCTATTTAAAGGTGCCTGCTGAGCCCAAGATGTGGAAATAAAGCACCAAGGGTGAGAGGGGACAGAAGCCAAAAGTTCTACGGGGCTTCCTCGACCAGGACCCAAGACATGGGATCTTCTGAAATTGGGGATGGGAAGGTGGAAAGTGCTGCTTATCTGGAGAAGCTGAGGGAATGTGTAAGGGCGTCTGATAGAACAGCGCCTTCTTTCTGATTCCTTAACTGCTCTGAAGTGCGTTCCCTTTTGGTGGGGTCAGAGTGACAACCCCGAGCGTAAGGGCAGGTGTGGTCACACTGAGACGAGCACTGTTGGTAGCTAAAGTGCTGAATCACTGGCACCAGGGGCTGCCCAACTGTGGTAGCTTTGTGAGGTGGATGGAGGGGATCTCTTCCTCCTCTCACATCTTTTTGGGTGCCTTACCAAGATTGTGTGCTTTTCTCATGGACCAGAGAGGTCCATGAGCTTACTCCATCGTCAAAGGAGCTGTAGTTGACAGCAGACAGAGATGAGTAGTTGCTGCTTGGAGTAGTAGGATTCTTCAATATCATGTAAAAGGGGGGAAACCACAACAAAAGAATTGTTTGCTGTATTTCAGGGTAAGCACTGTTATTCCTAGAGTCCCAAAAGCACGCACGTATTACAGATGGATGGTCTGGTAAACCCTTAGGTGAGAAGGGAGCAGAAGGTGAGAGGTAAGCAGAAAGTACCACGGTCTCGTAATGGGACCGGCAGCTCAGCTGGTGAAAGATCATCGGTGGAAAAGTGGAGGGGATGAGAGGAGCCATCGAAATGTTCAGTAATAAAAAAAGGAGCTTGGGAACCTGGGGAGCTGAGGAACGAGAAGTACTGGTGCAGGACGAGAACCTGGCTATTAGGGGGTAGCAAACACAGGACAGGATGCATACCAGGCACTGCCTGCTCCCTGATAGTGCAGGCAAGATAAAAACGAAGAGCGGGTGTGGTGTGGGATGGAAATGAAGCGGAGGCTGCTCTGCTCCTCTTGCGTCGCTCTTCGGTGTCACTTGTGTAAAAACTCTCCTGGGGAGAAAGTTGCAGACTTGGAACGAGGGTTGCAGTGTATGGAGAGGTGTCCCTAATATTAAAATAATTCCCTCTTTCTCTAAACTGGGCAACAGCTACGGGTGGTGATGGGCACAGGTCAGTGTTTGCTGCCTGGGTGATCGATGCTGTGTTTTTTTCCCCCTTCACCAAGACTTCTAAAAGTGGTTGGAGTCTGTCTCAGTTTATTCTGAGGGCGTGAGGCAGCGCACGTCTCAGACTCCTGTGAGGTCTCGCACATGCAGATCTCTGCTGTCCCACCTTCTGTGCCAGGAGAGCTGTCAAGCTGGGGTAGGAACAAGCAGCACTTCTGCTTGTTCTTCACAGACATCCCATGCGAGGGAAAAACGACCAATATCATCTGCCTGCACCTCTGTGAGGCCTTTGGCACGGTCCCACGCGACGTCCTGGTCTCCAAATTGGAGAGATTTGGTGGCTGGGCAGTTCAGGGGCTGTAAACTACAAGAGGGGAGGATTTAGGTTAGAGGTTAGGAGGAAATCCTTTACTCGGGGTGGTGAGGAAATGGCACAGGCTGCCCAGAGAGGCTGTGCCCCATCCTTGGGGGTGTTCAAGGCCAGGCTGGATGGGGCCTTGGCAAACCTCTTTTGGGGAAGGCGTCCCTGCCCATGGCAGCGGGTTGGAACTGGATGGGCTTTGAGGTCCCTTCCAACCCGAGCCATTCTCTGGTTCTATATATAAGGAGAAAAACAATTTTTTTACAACTTTTGGATAGTTGATAAGACCTGCACGTGAATGCTTTCCTTCAGGGTTCATAGAGCAGCTACAGATGTGCAGCTTTACCAGGGAGGCTCTTGCCCAGACCAAGAGCCCGCGGCCACCCTCCCTTCACCGGCACCAGAACCGTGCGTGGCGCAGCGCTGTGCGGCTGGACATGGAGCTGTGACACCCAGCACTAAGCAGGAGCTGGTATTTCTCAAGTACTTCTCAATATCTTTAATCTTCTGCCACTGAAGAGTGGCTTGCTCATTTATATATATTTTTTATAAGAAATTGGTATTCTCAACGCAAAGAGCAGTTGAGATGCAGCGTGGGAGAGCTGGTGGGTTGCTGTGGAAGCTGTGGGATGAAGTCTTAGTGGAGCAGACCGCCAGGGCCTGCTGTGAGTGGGGTGCTCGTCGGCTGCAGGCAGCTGGGGAGCGAGTCCCCGATGCTCTGATCCCGCACAGGGTGGCGAGTGGTGGTGTGGGGAAGGGAAACGTGGGTTTCTGGTGTGTATTAGCAGCGCTTCCTTCTGTCGGAGGGGGAGCGGTAATGTTAGCATACAAGCAGGAGCTCATCCATAATATTTATCTCTGAATCACACACGAGGTATTTCTCCATGCCTTAATTAACTTCCAGCTCTCCCTTCCAGCCTTGTGGAAGGGAACGGGGCTCTGGCAGAAAGTTTTTCCCACTCCTGAGCGTGGCTCTGTTTGCTAAAGCTGTAACAGCGGTGTTTCCACGGGCCTGCTTTTCCATTTATCTGCAAACTCTCATCCTCTGCCATGGGATGGGAAGCACGGATCTGTAGCGAGAGGAACAGGAGCTGCTGGCTCTGTATGGCTGCATTACCGACAGGCCCCGAGCTGCCATTTCAAGTGAGGCTGACTCAGCTGCTTGCCGTGGTGAGGAACGGCTCGGGTGGATGTTTGTGTGTGTGCACCGAAATGCTGAGCTGGCTCTTCCTCTGCAGCTTGGTTCGTGTTCTCTGCCACTGAGTGCTACGTGGGGAATGCAGAGAGTATTATTTTAATACATTATTGGTTTTAGATAGGCTTGTTTTGCAATAAAGGAACGCTAATGAGCAAGGTATAAAATAATGTATATAAAAATTTGGGATGAAGCTTGCAGCAGAGGAGGAAATGTTCCTGGTAAAGCTAGTGGGCATCGCTTCACGGGCCTCATGGCAAGCGTACAGCAAATAGACAAATCTTCAACCTGAAAAGCACAACTCCTAATTGATTTATTGAAGTCTGGATCCCCTTAAAATATCAACCCAAATATCATGAATTAGCATCTAAAAAAATACAGTTTAAGGTTTTCTATCTTTCACTGCTGTGTCAGGCCACACGCGTGCTGGTGCTGCTTTAGCTTTGGTCATCTCCAGTCTGATAAAACCCAGTGCAGGAATCCAGCCTGTTTTGCAGGGGGCTGGGCGGTGTGTCCCTGTACCAGTGACTTTGGGAGCCTTTAAGCCACTCTATAAGCACCTGAAATTGTGCTTAGTGGAGGGATGTCCTTATCGTCCACTTCAGGTTAATGGTGTGTTTATAAAAACTTATTTAATTGTGTAATAAGGGAAAAGTTGCTTACAATTTTCATGGTATATCCTTGGCAGCTCGATCAAATGTTGGTGTGAAATAGTTGTAGCTAGGTAGCGTTCCTGTTGAGAAGGGAACGTTAAAAAAAGCCTCCGGTGGGGCTGTAACAAGACTTCTCCAGTTCTAGTTCATTTTGAGTGACAGAAATCATCTTTGAGCCATCCCTCAAAGACGACGTGCAAGTACTCAGTAATTGTCTGGCTTCTTCTTAATTCTGCATGTATTGTGTTTTGCAGATAAGCAACCTCTGAAGACTGAAGGACCTGCTGAAGGGAACACCTGCTTTTGAGGTATGAACTGTTGTTTTTTTTTTTAATTATCCGACACAAAACCTCTCATTAGAAGTGAAGGCTTGATGCCACTGTGTGTACACACTGAGCTTCAGCAGCCCTGAGCTCCCAGCTACCACCCAGAGTTCAGCAATCTCCTTATCTCCTGCAGAAGCTCAGTAGCAAGGCTTGGCGGAGCAGGCAGGCCTGGCTATGACAAGCCAAGTATTAAATGGACTCCGGGATAGTCTGCATGCCTTTAAAAGGCATTATATGGAGAGTTTTTGACTTGAGCTTCTGCAGAATAAATGTCTGAAATACATTTAACTTCCGTTTCGGGTAAATGCTTTATGTACTGCTCATTTTGCTTCCTTCATTTCGAGTGTTCGCGTCCAACACTCCCTTGCTTCTGTTCAGAGGGCAGCCATTCTGCTCCACGTGTCGCACAAACCTTCTGTAGGCCTCTTACTGATACAAAGATTAAGCTGGGCAATCTCAGCTAAGATGAAACCAGCTCTGATTTGATTTCCTAGGAATTAGGAGCACTAAATTGTCTGAGTTGCTTATCCTGTCCTCCAGTTGCGGGAGGCACCATGAAGCTGAACTTCTGCTGGAGTCTGTTGTGATGTCTGCAGGCAGAGGACATGTGAGGGGCAGGTGCTTCCACAACACATTTTAGCAAAGGAATCACAATTTCTTGATATTTATGTGGACTGAGGGGCCCAGATGAATTCCACGTTGCAGTGTGGCAGTGGTTACTCTCAAATGCTGCCTGTTTCTTCAGGTACTAGGAGCAGTTTACTGCCTGTTTACTACACTAATTAATACTTTTTATCTTCACCTTTAAGTAGTCTAAGATATAAACCACTTCAACACAGGGCACAGACAAAATGCCCAAGTTGTTAACGTCAGTCTGCCAGTACAGTCCAGCGATACTTGGCTGTAAAGAACATCGAGGAGTCAAAATGCATACAGTTACTACCACTTCTTTTAACAGCTATCTAATAGGACTTAGTAAACCCACGTCTCCTAAAGCCTTGCTGTGTGCACAGGACACAGAATGCCTCTTTTTTGCCTACTTCTCTGACAGGAGGAGAGGTGCAAAGTCCTGTCTCTGCAGTCAGGCTAACGCTCGTGCCCGTTCATGACACAACTGAAACCAGGCTCAGCATCACCGCCGCTTGTTTGTGCTGCGTGTTGGGGCTGCCTGCCAGGCCATCTGAAGTCGTTCTCTAAGAGCTGTTTGAGAAGAAGCCAGCTGAGATGGCTTATCTGGCTTCGGGTGGGATGGAGGGGGTGGGAGGGGAGGCGCCCAGGTTCTGTGCGTGCTTTTCGTGGTGGCAGCAGTGGAGCAAAAGAGGTCACGGGAGGTGGAGTGGAGCTGGTGCTCCACACAGCTGCACAGCGATGACACCGGGGTGGAAGAGCCCTGCACTGTCCTCCCTATGTTTTCTGTTGAGTTTTCCTTTCCACTTGGCTTTGGTGTGGCTGTATGTCTGCCAGGCTCCTGGCATGCCTTGAATTGACCTCAGACTGCAATTTCCTTGGTCGTGTTGTTGGCCCCCAAGTTGTTCGAGGTGTTGAGTTCGCTACGGTCTTGTTTTCCTCCTTTTTTCCATGCACAAACCCGAGTTACAATATACGCTGGCTCGCAGAGCCCCGGCCATACTCGGAGTTGCACCTTTCAACGTTTGTTGTTCCGTGGTTTCAGGACATGGAATCACACAGGTGTTTCCCACAGACTGCATTCAGCAGCTAAAAATGCTTCCTGGAGTAACTTATCCGGGAACGTCTAATCCACGCTCATTGACTGCTGAATGAATAAAGGCAGCTTCCTCCCTGCTGTCCTCGGGGGAGCCCAGGAGAGCAGCAGGAAGGAGAGGTGTTTGTGCGGGTCCGGCCGTCGCTTGGATCTCGTTGGGTGACCTGACCACCCAGAGGAGTGTCTGGGGTTCCTTACGAAGCAAAACCGAGAACCTGTTCCTCTCAAACCCTGCCTGCTTGTTCTGTCAGGAGCTGGTTTCACCAAGGACAGTTTCACCTTGGTCACCTTGCCTAAACTCCAAGTACTGGACGAGTACTAGGACTCTCGTGGCACCTCCAATTTCATTTGGTTGTTGTGTTGTAACATGCTTAGTAAGTACTTCTGCAAACATTTCCTGCTGGATTAATTTATTTCTTGTGCAGCTGCTTTAGCTGGAAGGAAACAAGCACAAAAGCACATCTTTAGGATCAATGTTATTGATGAAAAGCGAGCTAGATTGGGGCTGCTGCTGCTGTACTTGTAGTAGGAGTAAGTAGCTGCTCCTTGCTGTGTGACTCCCTGGTCCCATCCTGCTCGGGAGCTCGCCCAGACGGGGAAACTTCTCTGCCCCTGTCCTTCAGCAAGTGGAGTGACTGCTTGTGCTGCAGGAGGATTTTGTGGTTTGCTGGACAAGGGGCTGCTGCATTAGGCAGCCACCCTTTTAAAAAGGGTGCTGAGGATGGTGCTGGCCTTTTAGTTTGAGAATAGTGGGAACAGACTCGAGGTTTAGCCCTTGAAGTAAGAGAAGCCTTGGGAAGAAGGCAACGCTAATACATCACCTACAACGTGTGGTTTGAGTTCCCTGAAGAGCTGTGGGCAGAGCCCTTTATTTTAATCCTTAAAAAAAAGGAAAAATAAGGCAGGGGAGGGGGTTGTTCAGTACCATACCGCGCTGTTTGGCCCTTCTCTCCCTCTTTTTGGAGGGGAAGCAGCCTGTGTCAGAGGGCACAAAGCCGTGGATGCTGGCAGCAGCCGTACCTGCAATAAGGCAGTGAACCATTCCCTGCAGAAACTCGGAGGCTGTACCTGATAACATTGCAGGGAGACCTGATTTTTTTTTTATTGATCTCTTTCATTGAAGACCCAGCCTTTGTTTTCTAACCAATGCCTTGTTTTTAAGCCGTGGCTGAATGTATTTGCTATCAAGAGCACGGAAACGTAAATACAATAGTGGTTGAACTGCAGCAGCTACTCCCTTCCTCCTCTGGTGGCTTCCTGCATGCGTTTTGGAAGGTGGAAATTACTCTTCTGCATTAACGAATTTCAGAAATGAGTACTCTTCCCCCTGGTGCTGTGCCATCAGATGTCAAAAACCAAAGGATGTGAGCAAAAAAACCCACAACTACTCTCATGTATGTGTTAAGACTGAGAGGTAAGGTAAGGGCCCTTGCTGGAGCTCCCTTCAACGCTCTCCTGTGCTCCAGCCAGATGCAAGCACAGGCTAACGGGACATCTTGCTGTTTTTCTCCACTTTACCTAAACCTGTAGCCAGAAAACCATGCAGGCAGCCTTCTAGTTGAACTAACTCTGCGTTCATCCGCTTGTGATGCTGGAGCGAGTCTCTTAAGAGGATAATTAATAAAAAGAGTAACTAATAAACGGGGGCGGTGCCTTCACCGACTGCAGTGTTGTTCTGCCAGACCTCAGCTTGCGATTATTTTAGAAAGCTGCTTCCTGAGTGTGGTTCTTGTAGCACCGTGGGTCACTAGTAGCTGATGCTGAGCTTTCTTAGCTGGGTGTGAGTTTTGTCATGGTGAATTTTGCCATTAAAACTAGCTCAAGACAGTGGAAAGGTTCAAATAGTAACGCCTGGTCTTCTACAGCTTGGGAGGGGCTGGATTGAGCTGTTTGCAGGTTAGAGAGTTAAACCGACCTCAAACCCTAGGCTGTCATGTGCTGTTTTTTATACCCAGAGCCTCTCCTGAGCCCTGCACGGCAGTAACAACTTTCTGGGGCGAGTTATTTCTCTGCAGTGCCTCCTTGCGTAACCCGCCGCCCGTAACACCATTAATGCGCCCCTGCTGCACTAATGCTGCTCCCGGCCCCGAGCGCGGCCGCTCTGTGATGCTCTTATGTCACTGGGCCAGCTGCATGGCTGAACTTCGAGAGGATCCCGGGGATTTTTACTTAGCTAAGAATAAACATCACGTGAGAGCAGGGGTTACTTCCCCGCCCGGGGGAGAGCGAAGATGGCGTGCCGCTGGGGAGCGGCCTCCCCGTGCTCCGCAGGGGATAAGCTGCAAGTCCGCAGGAAGCAGAAGGGCCTGGCACGTAGCCTCCTGCTTTTCCTTGCTGCTCGGTTCGCCGGTGCACGATGACACAGTGCTTTCCCAACAGTCTATTTTTATCATTGCAAAATCTGATAACTAACCTTGGGAAAGGAGACGTGATCGTACTTGCTGCATTTCCAGCCCAGCGGTGTTTCACGTTGGGCCTCGGCCTGCATCTTGGGTACCTGGTAACGTGCTACCGAGCGCCTTGCTGAGCACTTCTAACTTCTCTCCACCTGCATTTTGCTCCAAGAGGAGTGTCTCATCCTGTCACATTGCACACAGGCAGTATTTACTTCCAGCCTTCTAGCAAATCCTTCCATGAGCTGCTCTTAGCCAAAGACTCCAGTCCCTCTTGTAGAGGTGCCCAGGAATGTTGAGCTACGTTCCACCTTGGTTTGAAAGGACTTCTGGTTTTATTTTCCCCACTTATGTGTAGACAGAAATATCCCTACTTTAAAAGTAAAAAAGAAAAACAAACAAGCAAAAAACAGAGGGACACAGAAGGAGCAGCAGGCTCATGGCTCTTGGTCCTCTGCTTATGCTCTGCTCCCACCCTATTGCTGCCCAGGGACTTCATGAATTCGTGGGCAGCTGCGAGGCCTCCCCGTGAGTGCAGGGACCGGCTCGTTCCTGGCTGAAGGACCCGACGGGGGCAAAGTGGAATGGGCCCGGCTCCCTCTGAGCTGTGCTGCAGAGCTCCGTGCCGCCTGATGCTCCAAAACCGGGGCTAGGCACTAATAGAGCGTTTGTTTCTCCTTCTTAAATGTCTGGTTCCAGAGGGCTTTGTTGTGGTTTTGAAATGGCAACCCCCTATCTCCCAGCTAGTTCAGGTGTCTGTTCTACTTCCAGATCCCTTTTGGGGCACCTCTGTCAGTTCGCAGGAGCCCCAGGGCAGGGCACGGTGCGCCAGGGCACCTGACGAGTCCATAAGCCACCACTTTCTA